GCGCACGTGGCCCCGCCTCCTTTTGCGCCACAAGCCGCGGCACTTTACGGCTCTTTTCCTTGTTCCTCCGGCGGGAACACGGCCCCGCCCCGCCCTACTCCTCGCGGATTGGTTGTCCGTCCCTCGAGTCCCGCGCTGATTGGCCCGCGCATTTGTCACTCCTTTTCAGCCTAGTGGCGCGCGGCACGGCGGCGACAGGCGGGAGCGTGAGCTGCGGCGGCGGCGGCGGAAGTGGCCGGCGAGCCCGGTCCCCGCCGGCACGATGGTGAGGGGCAGGGCCACGGTGGGGGTCTCACCGGGAGGCAGGGGGCGCGGCTGTTGGGGGCCCCCAGGGTCGGCGCTGGGGGCTGGGATGGCTCGAGGCGAACGTTCATTCCGAGCCTTGAGTCCCACCTCCCCGGCCCGAGGCGGGGAAACTGAGGCCAGAGAGGGCACGTGGCTTTCCGGGGCGCTTACCACGTCTGTATCTGGGGTTTAGGGACGCACGCCCACCCATCATACCATTGCCTGCCTTGTTTAGTCTTCCCATGAAAAGCAAGTGGGGAAACTGAGGCCAGAGAGGGCAGGTGGCTTTCCCGGGGCGCTTACCACGTCTGTATCTGGGGTTTAGGGACGCGCGCGCACCCATAATACAATCGCCTGCCTTGTTTAGTCTTCCCATTAATAGCGAGTGGGGAAACTGAGGCCAGAGAGCGAGGGGGGGCCCGCCAAATGCAGCAGAGCGAGTTTCAGGCCAGGCTCTGAGCTCACCTGGGCTGGTCTAACCTCATGGACTGGGAAGCCGGAGGACCGGGAGCAGGGGGCTGGTCTGAGTTCTGATGCTAAGCCACTTTGGGGCATTTCAGGGCTTGCAAGGTGTTTGGATGTTAGCAGCAGAACTCTCATGTGCGTCTCGTTTTCTGGCTGAAAAGCAGGCCCAGAGAGGGTAGTCGTTAATCCCTGGGTCACATAGCGTGTCCTTCCAGGGGAAGGGATCATTTAGAGCCAGGGGTGGGCAAAGTGCATCCTCCCAGCACTGCAGAGGGAAAAATCGAGGCCTGGGCCTCTCCAGGGCCATGTCGTTCATGGTTACAGACGTTCTGGATCTGGGCCGGAGGGTGCCAGCGTACAGACAGGGGACACAGAAATTCAGCCGGGAGCCTCCTGGCCCATCAACACCCAGCCCTCTGTTTTTAGGGAAAACACCAAAGCCCTTGGTGGAGAAGTGACTTCTAGACTCACTCTGTGAGACAGGATTCTGGAACCAGGAGGACCTCCAGAGGGTGGCCAAGTGCGTTTCTCATAGTTGAGGATGACTGAGGGCTTCCGCCGAATCCTGCTGGCTGGTGCCGGAATTCAGAGAGGAGCCGGTCCCGCTCTGCCGCATTCGATGAGAGCAGATTTGGGGTGTGAGGAAGGGTGGGACTGGAAGGATCCGCTTCCGTGTCAAGCTTTTTTTTTTTTTTTTTTTTTCTGAGACAGAGTCTCACTCTGCTACCCGCACTAGAGTGCCGTGGTGTCAGCCTCGCTCACGACAACCTCCAACTCCTGGGCTCAGGCAATCCTCCTGCCTCAGCCTCCCGAGTAGCTGGGACTACAGGCATGCGCCACCGTGCCCGGCTAATTTTTTCTACGTATTTTTACTTGGCCAATTAATTTTCTTTCTATCTTTTTAGTAGAGACGGGGTCTTGCTCTTGCTCGGGCTGGTTTCGAACTCCTTGAGCGATCCGCCGACCTTGGCCTCCCAGGGTGCTAGGATGACAGGCGATCCTCCCGTGTCAAGCCTTGTGGAGGCAGCAGGGTCCTTGTCATCCTCGGTATATTCCCAGCGTGTGGGCTCATTCATTCAGCCCGTTCTCGTCTTCTGAACATCCAGAGTCCTGAAGTCCTGGCTCCTCCAGCAGTTTCCTGGAGGAGTGGACACAGTGTGACGCGGCACACACTTCCAATTCTTCAGGTCAGGGCAGGGCCAGAGGCGTGGCCCAGGTTAGCAGTGGGGTGGAGTGTCCTGGAAGGCTTCCCGAATTAGGAGCCGTTAACATTCGTCCGCAGTCTGTCTAGACCCCAGGACTAGACCCCACGTGTCGTAAGAACGCCAAGAGAAAGGAGTTCTCTTTCCTGAATATTTTGCGACTTTCCCAGGTCCAGATAGCGCGTC